GTGGATGACTCAGTTTCAGGTGCAGCCAACACTAGAAGTGAGTCCTCTTGATTCTACCACGACAAAGATCTGTTGGCTTGCAGAGCTAGCAAGCTTCTTCCTCTGAGGATGAAGAATCTCTAGTCAAGTGTTGTTTTGTAATGGATTCTCATATATATGTGCAGTGATACCCAAGAGGTTGTTTGTTTTTTTAAATTGGCTCAATTTGTCTTTTTGCTTACTAGAAACTATGCATTGGTAAGGAGTCATTACCCAAAAGCACATCCACAGAAGTCTTTTTAGACACCCTGCTTCTGCATTTCTTAGATTTATTTATTTTTATTGTATGTGTATTGGTGTTTTTGCAGGAGTGTCAGGTTCCCTGGAGCTGAATTTACAGACAGTTGTGAGCTGCCATGTGGGTGCTGGGAATTGAACCCGGGTCTTCTGGAAGATCTGCCAGTGCTCTTAACCACTGAGCCATCTCTCCAGCTCCTGCTTCTGTATTTTTTGTGACTGTTTTTAACTGAGCGGCTGGTTCATATTTACTAGAGTTTCCAAGAACAGGGTTCATTGTCTTCAAGCATCAGGAACAGGCTTGTGAGCATCTCAGAATAAACAAGCCCACTGAAGTTGTTATGGAATCAGGAAAGCCTAGCATCCAGTTTTGGAATGGGTCAGCTATAGAACATCTAGCTACCGGAAGCTGGGGAGCAGAACCCAGAGGAAAGCGTCACCAAGACCCTCTAGTCCTGTGGTTCTCACCCTTCCTAATGCTGTGACCCTTTAATACAGTTCCACATGTTGTGGTGATCCCCAACCATAGAATTATTAAGTTGTTCTTCATAACTGTAACTTTACTACTGTTGTTCATCATAATGTGAATATCTGATATGTGATCCCAATTGGGTCGTGACCCACAGGTTGGGAACTGCTAGTCTAGTGTCTTTGCAATGCTGGGATGGCATGAACTCTGACTGTTATTCAGTCTCACATGTGATCAAGTGTGCAGGAGTCTGGGCTCTCTGAAGGACAGACACTCATGACCCTAGTCAGTCTCTGTCAGAGGACTTAAAGAACATTGACTGAATGCCAGTGCTGGGGTTGGAATGTTTAGCCCTGTGCATAGAAAAGCAAAGGGGATTGGTGGAGGCCTACAAGGTAGCTCAGCAGACAAAGGCACTTTCTGTCTAAAGAAGCAAGCCTGAAAACCTGAGTTCAACTGGGCGTTGGAGGCGCACGACTTTAATCTCAGCACTCAGGAGGCAGAGGCAGGCGGATGTCTGTGAGTTCAAGGCCAGCCTGGTCTACAGAGCGAGTTCCAGGACAGCCTCCAAAACAATACAGAGAAACCCTGTCTTGAAAAACAAAAAAAACAAAAAAAAAAAAGAAAGAAAGAAAAAGAAAAGAAAAAAGAAAACCTGAGTTCAGTCCCAGAACCCATATAAAGAAGAAAGGGGAAAACCAACTCTATGACCTTCACACACATGTACAGCCCACATGCCTCCTGCTTTCCTGTATCACATACATGTGTGCTAATAATAAATTAATCAAATAAATTTAAAATTAAAACTTTTTTAAAAGTAGAAAAGAAGTTGGTCTGTAGAGAACAGGACAGAGACGTAAAGCTCACGTCAAGACTACCCAGAACCTTTTCCTTCTTCCTCCCTCCCTCCCTCCCTCCTTCCCTCCCTGCCTCCTTCTGTCTCTCCTTCCTACCTTCTGTTTTGAAGGTCTCATGTAGCCCAGGTTGGCTTCTGACTTACTATGTTGCTAAGGATGGCCTTGAACTCTGGTCCTACAGGCATGAGCCATTATGTCCGGTTTTATTGGGTACTAAAGATGCATCGCAGGGCTTTGTGTATGCGGGCAAGCACTCCACCAATGGAGTTGTATCCCCAGTACATACCCCCGTCCCCCCAGAGTCTCACTAAGTAGTTCAGGCTGGCCCAGAACTTGCTGTGAAGTCCACAATGGCCTAAATTTGAAATCTCCCTGCTTAGCCTCAGGAGTGAAGAGAGAGATCACAGGCAAACCCTGGAATTACAAGTGCGTGCCATATTTCCTGATTTAAGAGTCTAATTCGAGTTCCTGTTTCTGGTCTTTTATGCTGCTTCATTCTTGGATGTTCCTTATGATAAGTCTAATTACAATACTTAGAATAAGCACATTTTCAAGGTAGTTTGAGTAGGTTTTTATTATTTAAAAATTTAAACAGAGGGGTGGTGAGATGGCTCAGTGGGTAAAGACGTTTGCCACGGGGCCCGATGCCCTGACTTCCAGGCCACATGATGGAAATAGAGAAACAGCTCCTACAGGTTGTCCTCTGACTTCCATTATTGTTCTGTGACACGTACAGTCGCCATCTGCCCCACATTCAAAAATAATATAACAGAAAATTTTAAATCAAAATAGACCTACTGAAGAGTTCACGTCATTGTGTCCGTGTAGCTAGCAACTGATTTCACCCAAAAATCACTGTAAAAATTTTCTGCAGTGTCGTTAGTATAGATGGACTTTGAGCTCCAGCAAATGTGGTTTTGGTAGGGGGATGGAGAAGTGGCTCCTCAGTTAAGAGCACTGGTTGCTCTTCCAGAAGGCCTGGGTTTGATTCCCAGCACCCACAAAGTGCCTTACGATGGTAAGTAACTCCAGTTCTAGGAGATCCAACATCCTCTTCTGACCTCTGTGGGCACTGGCATTCAAGCAGGCAGAATACCCATACATATAAAGTATAAATGAAGGTTAAAGAATTGAAGAGAGAGAGATAGAGAGACAGACACAGAGATTTTGGTAGGCATACCTAAGTAAGTATTGACTGTCAAAAAGAATAATTACAATTTTCTATATCTTAATTAAACATATAAAATATTTTCCATAAAATATTCATACTTTTGTCTCTCAAAAATATCTTCCTTTGAATATTCAATAGGAACAGTCATTGCAAATTTCCTTTAAAAGACTGGAATTTAGGGGAAACACTTGTAGTTGGTAATGAGTTACAGAATGCATTTTTTTTTGGGTTATTTTTCGAGACAGGGTTTCTCTGTGGCTTTGGAGGATGTCCTGGACCTAGCTCTTGTAGACCAGCAGGCTGGTCTCGAACTTACAAAGTTCCACCTGCCTCTGCCTCCCGAGTGCTGTTATTAAAGGCGTGCACCACCAGAATGCATTTTTAAGGTACATTTTCATTATCTCTCTTACTACATTGTGGATATGCAAAACGAGAAACTTCTTGTAGTTAGCATGGTAAATAATTACTGATGTGTTAATGTGCCTTGCCAGGTTGAGGAGTACACACAACTCAGACCAAAGCACTTGTCTAGCATGCATAGGGCCGGGGTTCTGTTCCCAGAATAACAAACAAAAACCAAAAGCATGCCAAAATTATTAGGAAAAATATCTTCTATTGTTTCTGATAAATGCTCTAATTACAAAATAATCTCATATCACTTACTTAATTTTTTAGTGTTTATGTTGGAGGCTTTTCTTTTTTCCTCTCAGCCCTTTGTAGGAGAAATCTGCATCAAATGAGTCTGAGCTAACATTTTAGAGAAATCATCAGGCCATTTGACCAGCTTTCACCAGTTTCTGTCAGTCAACGCTGTCAGCCCACATGGCTGGTACAACCCCTGAAACTGCTGTTCAGGATGCTACCCACTTCATGAACAGTTCTTTGCTCAAATAAACTCTGTTCAATTAACTAAACCTTTTTTTTTTTTTTTGAGAGACGAGAAGGAAATAATGGAGAACAAAGCTCTGTTGCCAGGTGTCTGACTTTAAAATGCTGACTCCAAAACCTATCAGCTATGGAATTCTTAGCGAGATTATTTATACTTTTCATTACCTTCACCGTGGAAATAATAACAGTACCCACCTCAGTACAGGGGGCAGATTAATACACACAAAACACTTAAAATAGCCTTGGCTGGTATTAAGAAGCTGTGTTTGCAGTTATCGATCTATTAAATGTCTGGCTCATTTCTGAACTCCTAGTTTGGCCTTAGTTCTCTCTACAGGCTCTGCTTGTTCCCAGTTCCCTGGTCTTTTGCATCAGCATTGCTCTCATTGGCATCTTACTTTCCACCCTCTCCCTGGTCAACTTTATCTTAGCCTCCAGATTGAATGGTAATTTACATTTACAATGACTCCTCACATTCATTCACCATCCTGGTCTTTCCACAGAAGCCCAAGAATCACAGTTTTAGCTGATTAGTGAATGTCTACATCTAGAAGTGTCCCAGACGCAAGCTCAATACTTAGAAAAGCAAATTAATTCCCCTCTTGCCTCTATCTTTCCACATGTCCAAGGCCAGTAGGGAACCACAGAAACAAGAGCAGGGTGTTCTCCACTGCTAACTGAATAGAGGAGGGTATTGTAATGTTAACCAAGGTGGACAGGTGTTATTCACACTTATAGGTAGAAATAATAATCCTTTGTAAACTGTCTTTAAGGCTTTGGAACCAGACAGTAAGTTTTTTTTAATTAAAAAATTTTATTTTTAAGTTTAAATTCAAATTAGAAACAAGGTTTCTTCACATGTCAATCTCATGTCCCTCTCCCTTTCCCTCCCCTCCTCCCAACCCCTCCCACCACCCACCCCAGATAGTAAGTTTTGACACATTTAGAGAAAAGGAAGTGTGTGTGTGTGTGTGTGTGTGTGTGTGTGTGTGTGTGTATACACCAGTCCAGAGAGTAGGGAACTAAACTCTTCTCTCTTCCCAATAATGGGAGCTAAAACTCACTATGCCTCTGTACACAGCAAAATCCAGAGACGGACTTGGACGGGAGTAGAGGAGGGCAGGACTGTGCAGGTTATTGAACACAGGAAATGACTTCTTGTTTTTTGTTGTTGTTTTTAGAAGTGGACCTTCTGGGAAACGGTAGAAAGAAAGGTCAGGATACAAGGGATATGAGGAGGTGTTGTGTGATGCTATTCCTGTGCTGATACGAGCAAACAGCTACTCACCCCAGAATCAATGATGGACCAAGGTAAGGGTACCACTAAAGTCCACGTGGGGAACCAAAACTGCTTTGTTTTATTGAAGTTCCTTCAGGAATGCAGGTGAGGGATTACTTACGGGACTCAGTGACAGCTGCATCACCCAAGCCCACCCATCATGGGTGACAGCTCATAAAAACCGAAAACTTAAAGAGTGTATTGCACAGCCTGAAGGCAGCTCAAGGGTTGGAGAGTGTCCTTTCCAGGTACTTCAATTGGTCTGAGTGTCCTTCCAGGCGACTCAACTGGTCTCTGTCCTCCTGGTCTCTCCTTCTCCTAGAGGTGGTTTTAGTCTGAGCTTCTTCTGGGCAAATCAACTTGTTCCCGAAGTTCTTACAGTTTATAAATGCTCTGGGAAGGAGGGGATTAGTGAATCCAGTCAGTTTCAGGGACTTCGTGAAGCTATTTTGAGTTATTTATGTCTTATAGTAAAGGGGCTTCCTTACAGGGTGGAATGTTTTACCTCCTCTTAGAAGATTACATTGAGCTGGGAGTTGGTGGCGCATGCCTTTAATTCCAGCACTCGGGAAGCAGAGGCAAGCAGATCTCTGTGAGTTCCAGACCAGCCTGGTCTACAAGAGAAGATTGCATTGTTTTACCTTCTTGTAAACATCCCATCTTAAACTATGCCCCCACCTCCTATAAACACCCTATGTTTTAAGTATCCTCCCTCCAAATGGAAGATTTTAATCTAGGAGGAAACTATGATATAACAAAGGGAAGGTGACAAGAGAAAGAATTTATGGAGAACAGATCAGCCCTCAGGAAAAGATGGAATATACCCATGCTGTCTATATGATGATAGAGGAAACCTGTCTGGGGGGATGGGAGGGTGGGGTCACATCCATTTTTTTTTTTTTTAGTTCCTGACCCTATGGTCTACATTTATCACTGGTGGCTCTGTATAGAGACCTTGAAAACATTCTTCAGACTCCCATTTTAATTCAGTCTTAATTTAAAGGTCAGTTTTCCAGATGCACTCTGGATAGGGGAGGGAATCATCGCGCTTCCCCGAGTCACCAGCAGCAGTGTATGTTTGCCACCAAGCCACTAAGCTGGGATACCTACCCGAAAGAGCTCGTCCACAACTTTTGGAGAACCACCATCCCTACCACTTGGTAAAATTTGAACAGGCAAGAGTTTCCACAGTTACTTTCTGAGTCCTACAAACTTGTAGAAACTTCAAGTTGAGAAAAAGCCAAGTCTGACATCCCCTTTCCTCAGTAGTCTTTGAAAACATTTCTTTCTTGGATTGTTGGTGAGGCAACGATATCTCTTGTAGAAAAACAATAATGTGACCCCCTCAGATTTCACATCTATTTGGAACCAAACCAAACTAGAACAAAAACCTGCCTCCTAGATGGGGTTATTGGTGCTGGTTAAAAGCATCACCTAGCTCTCTGAAGGATACTCTTCTTGCACCACCTCCATCCAGCGGTCCATGAGGTCTTAGCACTCTCCCCTAGAAACGTGCTCCTTCTTCCTCCACAACAGTAAAAGCCAGCGTCAGTTCCCCCCATTTCCCCGGTTCACTATATTGGCCAAAAGTGGACCTTCTCGCTCCCAGAAGTGGTACCTCAGTACCCCCTTTTCCTCTATGACCTTTGTTTCTGAGGGTCTTGTGAAAAGACATGTCTGTGGTATCCCTTTGCTTTAATAAACCAGTGCCTCCCATCACTCTCACGAAGCTGCTCTTCAGTTTATATCAGGACCCCAAGAGAGGAGCACATAAGATGATTATAGTCAGTCACATGAATGGATTACTCCATTTTATAGGCATATTAATGTGTGTCATTAAATCCATGCTTCAAAACTGTGACTTCATGGATATTATCACCACAATGAAGCTAAAACAGGCAGCATGGTGGTAAGCTGCTTATATTGACATAGGGAAAAGGAATGTTTTCACTGTTTCTTACACAGAAACAGTTTGTCCTCACTCCTGAGAGACAGTCACGAATGACAGCTTATGAGAACTACAAAATGGCATTGTTCAAATTGTCTGTAACATTAAGAGGCAATAATTCCTGAGAATTACCATTGCCTGGTAATGAAAGTCATTAATCCTCAGATTTGGATACAACTAGGAATTCCAAGAATGTCTGAAAAGAAAATTAAGGCACATGGTGGTAACACTTTAACTCTTCATAGTCAAAGAAAGATATTCAGTGCCGAGGGGAACTAACCCATTAGTAGAGCCATTAGCAGAGTGCTCTTCGCTTGGGGAGGAGGTAGGGCACTCACAGACAGTCCTGAAGAGGTAGGGGTGTGTGTGTGTGTGTGTGTGTTCTGAAAAGGGAGGTCAGGTTCTAAAAGCAGGGCTCCTAAGGGGCTGGATCAAAGGCAGAAAGAGATTATACACAAAGGTAACCACACTTAAAAAAAATCAAAGATTAGAAGCCAAGGGTGGTATATTTCTGTAATCTCAACACTTGGGAGGTGGAGGCAGCAAGGAAAAGTGTTAGAGTTCAACTCCACTACTAAACTGCAAGTCCAAGGCTAATCGGAGGGCTGTGAGGCCACAAACAGGCACTATGTACTCACACCTGTACATACATGTGCACTATGTACTCACACCTGTACATACATATGCACTATGTACTCACACCTGTACATACATATGCACTATGTACTCACACCTGTACATACATGTGCACTATGTACTCACACCTGTACATACATATGCACTATGTACTCACACCTGTACATACATGTGCACTATGTACTCACACCTGTACATACATATGCACTATGTACTCACACCTGTACATACATGTGCACTATGTACTCACATCTGTACATACATGTGCACAAAAGCATGCTAATGAGTACATACACCACACAAACCCCCCCCACACACACACACAATGAAAATTTATAAGATACTAAGAAGTAATACTGGAGATGAGAAAATGGGCATGAACACAAATAAAAGGAGAATTAGTTATGGGATGGAGAGGCAGGTCAGCAATTAAGAGCAAAAAGTTCAGTTCTCAACACCAGCTTTGGGTGGCTCACAAGTGCCTGTCACACCAACCCCAGGGAGTTGAGACATCCTTGGCCTCTGTGAGCACCTGCACTTGTGTGTAGATATCTGCCCCCACAATTAAAAGTAAAGTAAATCTTTAAAAAATTATGAGAGAATGAAAGAACAGATTTATTCATCTAAATAAAATATGAATAATGAAACGGAATTTTTTTCTTAGAAAAATACAGCCAACATAAACTGAATCAAGAGGAGTAGACAGCCTGATTAAACTTTCAGCCTTTAATATTTATTTTAAATTTTAAAATTCTTCCTATAAAAGCACTATCAGGCCAGAATGGTTTCTCAGGATACTTCGGCCAAACTTCCTTCAGCAAGAAGATAATCCTATTTCATATAATTTGTTCCAGGTAATAGAAGAAGACAGAATGTCTTCCAACATAATTTGTTAAACTAGTACAATATTTATTTCATAATCAGACAAAGAAGCATATAAAGGAAGTTTAGGCTTACTCTCAGGCAAAAACACACAAGCAAACATGTTAATGCATTAATGTGTCACACCCAATCTGATAATTCAGTTAAAACAAAACAAAACAACTCATAAGAGAAAGAAATCCTTTAATCTGGGAAGGTCATCTTCCCAAACTCTATGCAAACAAAACAACCAATCATGAATTGTTAGAATTGCTTTCTGTCAAGAGTAATCCTCAGAAACCCTTTATCCCAGCTTATGGTCAATCAGGATTGGACCAGAACTTCAAGCCACAGATGAAGTGGAAAAGGGAAGGTGGACTGGAGGGAAGGAAGGAAAATCTAGAAGGATGGAAATGAAACTAACACTTCACAGATGACCAATTCTTACAGAAAATCTATGAATCAATAAATTACTCAAAAACTGAGCTGTATTTCTTTTTTTGCCTAGAGAATTCTAAAATTTGCATGAAAAGATGCTTTTGATGAAAATGAAAAAGGATGAGGAGCTGGTCTATACCTATAGGCCCAGCATTTGGGGAGCTGAGGCATTGGAGGCTAGCCTGGGTTATATACACAGACCATAAAAAAAAAAAAGCAAAGAAATTTTCTCTACCACACAGGAAAACTTACTAGAAAGCCTTGATTACCCCAGGCATTAGTGGCACACTCCTTTAATCCCAACACATGAGAGGCAGAGGCAGGCGGATCTCTGTGAGTTCGAGGCCAGCCTGATCTACAGAGCGAGTGCCAGGATAGGCCCCAAAGCTACAGAGGAACCCTGTCTCTAAAACAACAACAAAAAGCCTTGATGGCTACAACTAGCAATGAGACAGGATAGAAAATCAAATCAGCAGTACAACATAAATGATTGTAATACAGGACCATTCCTATATTAAAGCTACACCTGACACTCAATTCGGTAGGAAAGGAAGAATGTCCGTGGCTCCCGAGCTCCAGGATACCTTTCCATCAGAGCTGTGTAACACTTAGTATTCTGTGACTCCCGAGTGCCAGAATACTGTCCCACATGATCCGTCAAATTGACGACAGCCCCCATCTTCCATATTATTTGATACAAGGTCTTTTTTCACTTTTGCACAGCTCAAGTCTCCTGACTCTGCATTTCAGAAGGGCACATGGTGCCACCCAGCTTTTGTGTGGATTTGGGATTTGTGTTCAGCGAGCTCTTTACCTCCTGAGTCATCCCACCAGTCCTCTTAAAGTTCTTGAAGAAGCAGGGCTTGCGTGGCAGGGTTCTCTTCTCAGAAGTCAGTTAGTAGACAGTCAGCACCTAAAATGGAGAGTTGGAAATGAAAGATTGAAAACTATTCTAATCTTGTTTTCACACTCAGTTTGATGCTGGGCCTGGTGTGCCTAAGCCCACAGTTTTTCACTGAGCTGCACACACAGCCAGCCATGCATACTAATCTACTACTGAGGTGTTTTGATTGGTTTTTAACCATTCTATTACCATCCCATGATTTCCTTTGCGCCCCTTTTGAAAGAGTGAATTCTAGCAAATTCTAACAGTAATGGTTTTCAATGTTTACTTTTTCTTCTTCAGAGATGGTATATGCCTGAAGGCAGAATACCAAGCTAAAGAAAACAAGACCCAAATTGGTTATACGCTACAGGGAGCCTGAAGTTTCTTAGTTCTACTAAACTATAAACATAAATGTTTCCTAAAGAAGCAGGCTGGCTAGACCGACCATGTTTGATTCCTAAGCAGTCCAGGAAGATACCAAGTACCTTTTTATGCTTCTTTCAATGGCTCTGAGTCCTCCTGACAAAGTTCACTAACAGTCTCACAGAAGTTTTGTTGGTGACAGTGTGGCGTGTGAAGTGGCCGGGTAGACCCATGAATGCCGCTTTGTTCGGGCAGAGTCCTGCTACAGCGAGGGCACAGACCAGCCCAACACTTGCCATTTAAACCTCCCTCTGCGGGCTTCATGGCTTGGCTGGAATGCCTAATTCATCATGCAGCTTAGTGGCAAGGATTACCTTTTACACTCTGAAAACAGTCACACCAAGTGAAACAAATCAGACCTTCAGTTTGAGTTTCTCCTTTCTCTTTGTGCTCTCACATTTTTGGGGGGGAAGGGATAAAATTAACAAAATGTTTTTAATGAGACATTTGATTGAAAATCATACCCTGGGTCAGGCTACATTACATAACATAGTTTTGCTTCTATTTGGAATCTAGTAAGAACTGACATTTTATTGGGAAAAGTGAGGTAACTTGTTTTCAGACTTTTTTTTCCAAAGAAAAAGTACCTGGGATTCTATTAACACAACTTTAAAAAACATCTTGTGGTTTAAAAAAAAAGCTTCTATAAATACATTTTTTTAAAGTGCAGACTCATGTTTTTTAATTCTATAAAACCATAGCTAACTATCGAAGTGCTAAAGGTCTTGGGATGAGGGCCTCGGAGGTCACTTGACTCACCCTTCCATGGGCAGAACTGTCCCTGGCATTGTTTTCCTGAGCATTTTCTCCAGGCCCACGGAATGTCTAAAGAACACAATTCAATGCTTTGAATTATAATTGTATTTTTACAGCATTTTATCAGCTAGAACAATGCAGAGTATAAATGATTTTTCTAAATTGAATGCTGCTTTTAACTTTCAATAAGAGATTTTAAAATGAAGATGTGTGTGTGTGTGTGTGTGTGTTACATGCATGTGAGTGTGAGAACGTATGTACTCATGCACACAGATGTGAAGGCTAGAAGACATGAGGTGCCTTCTATTGCTTCATATCTTATTACCATGAGACTGGGTGTCTCTCACTGACCTGGAAGCTTGTTGTTTTACCTAGGGTGACTGGCCAGAGAGATGCCAGGATCCTCCTGCTGGCTCCTCTATATACTGGAGATATAAGCACACACAGCCGTTCATAGCTTTTTATGTGCATACTGGGAATTTATAATCAGGTCATCATGCTTGTACAACAAGTGCTCTTACTGTCTTAGGGTTTCGATTGCTGTAAAGAGACACCTTTACCATGGCAAGTCTTATAAAGGAAAACATTTAATTGGGTGGTTTACAGTTCAGAGGTTTAGTCCATCATTGTCATGCTGGAAGCAAAGCAGCATGCAGGTAAACATGGTGCTGGAGCTGAGAGTCCCTACATTTTCATCCAAAGGCAACAGGAAGTGAACTATCTCACTGGGTATGGCTTGAGCATATATGACACCTCAAAGCCTACCTCCATGGTGACACACTTCCTCCAACAAGGTTGCATCTTTTTATACTGTTACTCCCTTTGGGGGAATTTTCTTTCAAACCACAACACTCATCTCCTCAGCTTCAATGCTCTTTTTTTTTTTTAAATGCCTGGGTGTTTTGTATGTGTGATCTCTCCAGGTACTGGGGACAGAATCCAGGGTCTTGAGCTTGAACAAGGTCACCATTGCTGAGTTAAATCCTTAACTCCTTGGCTCTCCTTTTAAAAAAAGATGTTGGCCTGTTTAATTCATATTAGGTGTTTGCACAGTATGCCACTTAAAGACTAAGCATTGGGTGAAACTTTTTTTTTTCAAGACTTTTTCAAGGTTTTTTTTTTTTTTTTTTTTTTTTGGTTTCTCTGTGGCTTTGGAAGCTGTCCTGGAACTGGCTTTTGTAGACCAGGCTGGTCTCGAACTCACAGAGATCCGCCTCCTTCTGCCTCCCGAGTTCTGGGATTAAAGGCATGTGCCACCTCTGCCCGGCCCGGAGAAGCTTTTATTTTTAGTTTTGGGGATTAAACCTACAACGTCACACATGTTAGACAAACTTCTGCAACTGAGCTGCACCTTCAGCACACAATTAGATTTTATGTTTTAGAAGAGATAACTGTATGGAGAGTCAATGAGGTTCTACTGTAACACATTCTACTTGGAGAGTTTATGGCTTTATCACATATAATTATGCCATAAAATGATATGCAACCCATTAGAAATAACTTGAAGTGTCAAGGGCAAAATGGTTCATTGACTGACATGAATTTCCTCAAGATAGAATATATACTGTAGCTGGTGACTCCTAGTGAATGATTGCTGAGATATCTACCAAAAAAAAAAAAGTTAAAAAATGACTAAAATCCATTATATGCGGACCACAGGAATAAATGTTAAGTCAAAGATTTTACATATACTACCAATAGATAGTTTTCTCTTATAAATATCCAACTTACAGGTAGAATGGACAATTCTATAAGAAACTTTGCAATGCTAATGCAAATTTTTTTGAAAAACAATACAAATAGCCTCCATTTGTGTGTGTGTTTTTTAGCTGTTTGTCTCATCTCTGTCAGAAAGCTTTCTTCTTGGAAAAAGACAATGAGGTCTTGAAGAGCTGTTCTTTTTGTTTGGTTCATTAATAAAAACAACTTTTATAACTGGACTGCTCATAATTGTTTTATTGTTCAGTTGATTTTAAATGCTTCCTAAACTTTTGCTATGCAATTGAAATTTCCAGAACAGTTCATTTGGAATCCTTATGATGTCCATCCACAATGGGCACAAAAATGAGTGACCAGGCTGCTGTACTTTGGGCTGTCCCAAGGCTGTGCTTTAAAGGCTTAGTTTCGAGATGGTGCTATTGGGAATGTGGACCTTTCAGAAGGGACCTTGTGGAGGTCACTGGGAGATGCTCTTGTGGATGATGGAAGCCCCACCTCTTTTCTCTTTTGCTTCCTTTCTTACAGTGGTTTTGTTCCACCAAGTGCTCTTCTATGTGTGCTAAGAGCCTCAGGCCCCAAAATCAATGGGGTGAACGAATCATGGAGAAAAACATCTAGAACTATGGGACAAGCTTTTCCCTTTAAAAAGTGGATTTAACACAGGATTGGGGGAGGACGTGGAGAATGTCTGTCATATTATAGAATTGAGCTTGGAAGGCGTAGGTGGGAATGCTAAGCTAATATTCTACTACTGAGTTACACCCCTGAGTCCTACCTACGCAGCTCTATATTGCTGCCTGATTAAGCAAAGAAAACAAAAGGAGTGTGCAAAGTGTGGTGTAGGGAACGAGAGTGAGACAGACACAGAGAGAAACAGGATAAGGCCAGGCAGGGGTAGGAATGAGAGCAGAAGAGGTGGCGAGAAGGCAGAGTCAATAAAAAGGGGACACTTGCACTGTCATTAATGCGAGGGCTCAAACTAGTGCTTGGGTAGCATCTCCACAAAGTCTTTTCTGACCGCATCTTCTGGCTTAATGCTGCAGCCTCTTTGTTAGGCAACTATTGCCGCATAACAAATTAACCCTAGCGATTGCACACAGTTTTTGTGCGTCAGGAGTCCAGGAGCAGATTAGCTAAAACCACAGGAGCTGGGTCTCGCGAGAGGTTGCAGGCTAAGCTGCTGCCCTCTGAAGACCAGACAGAGACAAACAGATCGGCAGCCAATGGCTCGTCACATGACTATTGGTGAGCGGTCTCAGTTGTTCTCCTAGTGGGTAATAGACTTCTGAGTACCCTTTCGACATGACAGCAGGATTCCCCTAAGAGACACTGGTTCAAGAGAGATCAAGGAAGCTGAAATGCCTGTGGCAGATCTGTCTCTGGTGGCTAGGTCATGAACACTGTCCCTTAGGCATCTTTCCTATTCTTTGGGACAAAATCCTTTGGTTTCAGCCCACATTCAAGGAAAGAAGACACAGCCTCCACCTTTTAAACTATTTGTGGTCTTATTTCAACCTGTTCCATCACTTATTCACCCTGGGCTGTCCAAGATGTTCTGTTCTCTTGTGTGATAAAGTAGAAAACTGAATTGATACCACCAACTTTTAATCTAGCAATCTTTTATGCAATTCATAATAAAAATTGCTAGCAGAAATAATTTGTATAAAAGCAAAAAAGCAAGCACGGTTTAAGCAACACACAGAAAATAGATGAAAGAACCATTTTGCTCTAGAGAACCACACTTTAAAAAAAACTCGAGAGCTGTAAAAATGTAACTCAGGAAAACTAAACTTGCTTTTGAAAATGGCCACAAAGAAAAACGTATAAAAGCAGAAGCTCTCGTGAGAATTTGAAGTGAACAAAACTACTGTATAATAGAAATCAAAAGCCAAAGAAGGCTCAGTGGTTAAGAGTGCTTACTGGTCTTGAAGAGTTCTGGACTCCATTTCCAAGCACCCACAGCAATCAGCTCACAACTTCCTGTAACTCCAGCCCAAGAACATCTGACAACACTGGCTTCCATGGCCCCAGACACAGGCATAATTAAAAATAACAAACTCTTAAAAAATTCTCTCTTGTAAATTCACCTGGAAAGGAATTAATACCAACATGTATAGTTTCAGCAATTCAGCAAAAGAAACAGCAAACAGGGGGAAAGGGTTTAATTGTAGAATAGAGAAAAATGATCAATTAGTTTAAAAATACATTGAAAACAACATCTCCATAATCAACTTTGTTAGAACAATTCTGATTAAAATCTTGTGTAGGTTACCTGGAGCAAAACTGCTTGAGATTTGTATCAGTATATGTCTTCATGTATTACGTGTAGATTCATAACCTTCAGGATAGAAGGGGTCTGGAGGAAAGGCTGGTTAAGTTTGCAAAGAACAGATTGACAAGCAGGTTAGGGATGTAGCTCAATGGTAAAATGCTTGCCTAGCATGCAGGGAGCTGCAAGTTCCATCCCCAGCAGCATAAACAGAAAGGAGAAATTGTTTTTAATGAATGGATTTGATTGTAGAAAGATAAGTACAACCCAAAATGATGTAACCAATGTATTTAAAGGGGGAATGAAGCTGGGTGTGGTTCTTCATATGAGTAATCCCAGAATTTAGGAGGCTAAGGCAGAGAAGGGTTGCGCATAGGATGAGGTCAGCTTGGGATATTATGAATTCCAGGATAGCCTGGGCTACAGAAAAAGATCTTGTCTCAGGAGAAAAAAAGGGGGGGAGGGCTGGAGAGGTGGTTCA